ATTCCTCACTTGCAGCCAGCCCCTCTTTTCCTTGGCATGCTCTTTGGTCATTGGTTCCCTATGAGTTGCACACAGTTTCCTTTTTGCTCACGTTTGTGGAGAGGATATGAAGCGTAGGTCTAAAGTAACTTTATTAGTGCTTGGAATGTTTCAAAATATGCCCGTAGAGAAGGGCTAATTACAGTACTCCAATCTGGGAATCCTAAATATTGTACTAGATTGCAGTAGTTCATAGATATTTAAATAAAAATGCATCAAGATTCAAGAGCAGTGGCTAGAATGCAGTACTGCAGGCTAACCCATTGCTTACTACAGGAGTTCGATCCTGACTGGCTGAATGTTGACTCAGCCTTCCATCCTTCCAAGACTGATAAAATGAGGACTCAGATTGTTGGGAGCAATATGCTGACTCTGTAAACCACTTAGAGAGGGCTGTAAAGTACTTTGAAACAGTATATAAATCAAAGCATTGTTTCTATTGCTATCAAACCGTGATTTCAAATCTCACAGGTTTCAGTAATTCACATCTCTCTTGAAGCATTCAGCACGGCAGAGTCTTCTGTCAACCAACCAACCTACCTGACAGATCCTTTGGAAATCATTATATTTGTTTAACAGATTGATGTCAAAGAAAGGGCAATGAAGAAATATACAGTATAGAGGAGCCTAGCAACAAAAGATATGAGTGCACAAGATGAATAAGCCACTTACCCATCAGTCCAGTGGCAAAACACACCACACCATAGTTAGCTGGGTTTACTGATTAGTTGACATGCTTTGAATGTTCTAAGTCCACCAGTGAACCCTCTCCTTTTATTTATAGGCCAGGGGACAGGAAGTTGAAATAGCTTAAACCTGCACTTCTGGAAGCAAAAGGATAACACAGGTTTAGCCATCTTACAAAACTGGTTCCACTGTGCAGGGGAAAAATGCAACAGTTGACTAAAATCTGAGCTCCATCTTCACAGGTTTGTACAGTCCTACCTTCTGAGATACCAGGACTGGAATGTAAAGCTGGGACAAAGCCAGTCAAACCAGGATATATGATATTTACATGTTTCTAGTTCTATTTGTCATACTTTTTTCTCCCTGGCAATTAGAAAACAGATTAATCCCAATCTGAATATGAATAACAGCTACAGCTAAAGGTTTTTTTTGTTTTTTTGTTTTTTGTTTATTAAGAGAAGATAGTATTATTAAGATCTTTTTTAATAATTTAATCAGTGGTCCAAGTTGAACTCTCATACTAGATCTAAACAGAAAATGGCTAAGCATGTCATGGGAATATTTCAGCATCAATGACAAAGCACCAATGTAAAAAATTAAGCATGGGCAAAATTAAATATTCATATAGGAAAAACTAAAATCTTTCCATATAAACTGTCATTTAAGCCATTATTAATTCACCAACTTGTTGAGACTAAGTACACAAAGAATTTGAGTACATAGTTAAATATCATATAAATATGTTTAAAATTTAAAATTGTTGCCACAACTCTACTTATATGTATTAAAATCCCATTCCAAAAAGGTATCAGATAACCACAGGACTGTATCATGTAGGTGAATGAACTCTCATATATAATTTAGAACACTTGGATTCTCCAAATAATGTATTCGAAATGGTATAATGGGTAAAGTTTGTAATCATGTTTCTGCTAAGCCTTACTGCATTGTTGCTGATTAAAATGGAGAGATGAGGTGTCACATGTAGACCTATAGAGAATGGGGTGGGTATGGGATGAAGAGGTGTTTGGTTGTATTTTAAGAGAAAGCGATAAGTTGTTAATGTTGACTATACTTGCTGGGGATGAAGGGAGGGGCTTCTCTTTGCATCCTTTTCTTTTCCCTGTTTTTGCACATTTTAAATTTTATTTTTAAATTTATTTTTGAACTATGTATTTAATTAATTTTATTTGTATAATATAATCATCAATAAATTTATTTTAAAAAATATAAATATATATTTTTGGATGAATCAACTCAAATCCCTTCATTTCTTTTTAGCAATGCCTCTTCGAAGATGTAGGTTGCAAGAAGATTTAGAATTTTCCAGATTAAGAAAAAGGTAAGCACATGTTTAAAATTACGTCTGTTATGGGGAATACGTTCCTCTCTCTTAATTCTAGAATCTGAGAAAGTCAAGTAGAAAAGAGTGCTTTCTCATGATCTTTAAAAGACTGGAATTTCTAACCATAAAATTGTGACTGCAACTCTCTGGGATCCATTCCTGAAGGATAAATCAATCAGTGACTATATACAACCACCAGTATTAAAGGCAAAATACCTCTTAATATAAATGTGAGTTGTACAGGATCAGGATCTGAAAGGCAAATTGTGATTCTGATAGGACACTTGAGGAATACTTGTGATAGAAACATTTTAAAGCAGCTGTGGGTTTTGGGGGACTTGCATGGCTGTCCTGACATATGATCCTAGGAAAACATGTGTTTGAAACATTTGCTGCAATCATAAGCAGGACAGTGCTACTGCAGTCACATCCTGTTTATAGGGGAACTATAAGCATTTGGTTAGTCATTATAGAAACTGAATGCTGAACTGAATAGATTTTGTCGAGATCTACCCAATTCATTTAACCCTCTTGTTGGGTAGAGTGAGTATGTATAGCAAATGTAAATTGGAATAAGGTATATTTTATTGCATTAGTTGACTGCTGTTCTATTCACCTGAATGAGGCTATGATTTCTAAGATCCATCTGCACATATGTACAGTTAGAATTATGTTATCTAATAGCTTATTGGGATTTTTGATTTCTCTTATCTTATAATGAACCATGTTGAAAAGCATTTGCCCCAAAATAGCATTTGGTTTCAACAGATTGTGCAATCCTAAAAAGCTTAAAACTGAAAGCAAAAATACTTTTAATCTACTTTTTTGCAAGTTGTCTGAATGAGATAATGCTTACTACATACATACATACATACATACATACATACATACATACATACAATACTCAAGTGTACTTCACCTTTGTTTAATTGTATCTAATACATTTCTTAATTTTCTCAGGCGTTTCATATTGTTGCCAAGCTTGTCCTGTGGGACTCTATCCATTTACTGTGTGTTCACTGTTAATTAATTCCCTTGATAAAGAAATAGCATCTTCCGCAAAAGGTTACATATAATGGATTTTTCTTAAACACGATAGTTGAAAAAAGTTTTTAAGTTTATGGAGATAATACAACTTTTCCCTTTGCTTAATTCTATGTACTGTTATACTTGCTTAAACTCTTATGTATTAGAGTGATAGAGTGCTTTGATTTAAAAATTCAAGCCTTCTGTGCTACCTTCCCACTTGTCCTGTTTGACAAGTCCTCAGTTTCTTTCTTTTTCAATTGACATTCAAAGTTGGATGGTCACCAACTCAGAGATAACGTATTACTTGTAATAATTGTTGTTTGCATGTGTATGTGTGTGTGTTTGTGGATTTTCACAGGTATAGGTATGCAGGTTTTTGCGTGTTCGGGTCTTTTCCCATGTATTCTCAATCTTACATGGGAAAAGACCCAAACACGCCAAAACCTGCATATGTGTGTGTGTGTGTGTGTGTGTGTGTGTGTGTATTTTCTGAGATTTTCCTGAGTATTTGTATGTGGATCTTTGGTTAGTCAGGTTTTCTCCTGCGTAGAATTGGAAGTATCTAGGCGACGTTTCGATGAAGTCTCATTCATCATCTTCAGGTTTGTGTCTTCAGCTTTGTGCTTCTCAGAGTAACTGTGTGTGTATGTATGTATGTATATATATATATATATGTGTGTATGTGTGTGTGTGTGTGCGTGTGTGTGTGTATGTGCATATGTATATGTGTGTGTGTGTGTGTGTGTGTGTGTGTGTGTGTGTGTATATATATATATATATATTCATTCTCAAGTTTTCGCGGGTACTTACATGTATGGCATTCAGCTTTGTTTGGGTTTTTACCCACATCATTATAGTTGTGCTTTTAAAGTTGTAGCAACATTTGGGCAGAATCTCATCTGCCATCATCAGGCTTCTGTATTGTGTTCGTCTGATGATGGCAGATGAGATTCTGAAGCCTGATGAGAATGTTGCTACAACTTTAAAAGCACAAGTATAATGATGTGGGAAAATACCCGAACAAAGCTGAATACCATACATGTAAGTACCCGCAAAAACTTAAAACACACACACACACACACACACTTCTATTATACTTTTTTATTATATTTTAGTTCTAATGTAATCACTATTTCCACTATAACTTTTCTCATTTGAATCAAGTTAGGGTTTGTTTGTTTGTTTGTTTTGCTCTAGAAGGTAGCATTTCTCAGCTGCCTTTTCCGGATCTTCCTTAGTCTCGGCGGCAGCCCTGTTGTCTGATTTCTTTCATGTACTGAACTGATCGTGGGGTTAAAACGACCTTATTGAATAAGCTTTCCTTACCACATCCTGGTTAAGCAAAATCAGCCAGTAAGATAAAGTAAGGTAAACCCGTGATGGAAATCCCCGAGGAGCATCTTAATACACAGTATACCAATAACATATAATATATCCTGCTCATTCAGTTTTATTAACAACCTTGATTCGCCGCCCCTCCCTTCCCCTCGCACTTTGATTATACCTGCATAACTTCAACTCTCTGAAAAGTAAGCTGATGAAATGAGGAGGCAAGTTCAGGGAGGCTCTAAAGCTCTTTCGAAAACAATCCCTTTCGGGAGGGGAGTTGGGGGGGGAAGGAAATTTAGGGCTGTACCCATGTTCTATTCGTACACCATCTAAGTAAGAGAAAGGTGGCGTTAGGGTGACTGAATTTGGAAACGTCGAAGAGAAGGCGGCGGGGGTCTGTGTGTTTGTGTGCGTATGTGCGTGGAATGGTTAGGCGCGTCAGCGAGCTGGATACAATCCCGCGAAAGAGGAAGGTAGGTAATACGAGGCGGTGTGTCGTGCGCGCGCGGCGCGTGGGCGGAGCTACTCCTCTTTGAACTCGGCGAGTCGAGCAGGGGGAGGCGGTGCCGCGTTGGGGCGTCGGGCCCTCGGCGCGGAGAGCTGCGAAGTGGCTGCTGCTTCTCCTTGGCTTCCTTTTGCCGGGAAGGTCCCGCCGGTCGCCTCTGGAAGGAGTTCTCTTCCCCACCCCGCGGTTTGGGTGCGAAGGCCAGTTCCGGCTTGGGAACTGGATGGGAAGCAGCAGCAGCGCGGGTGGCTGCAGGGGCGGCGGGCATGGGGGAGCGTCTTAGCACGGCGAGCTCTCCGCCGGAGCCAGACGGAGCCGCCCCCGAGCCGCGTCTCCCGGCCACGGAGACTCAACCTCCGCTCCCCACAGTCAGTGGAAGGACACCAAGGCCACAGCAAGAGGACGATGCTGGACCGCCGCCGGCTGAAGCTCAAGGCCAGGAGGCCGGCGACGGCGGCGGGGCTCCCTTGGAAGAGGGTCCATGCTCGGAAGCGCCAAGTAGCAACAGCTACCCGTTTGCTCTGAGGCCCGTCTACCCTGCGGTGACCGAGGAGTCTCCTTCTCCTCCTCCAACTCCAGGAGAAGAGGGCCGACAAGAAGACCCCCCGCCCGCCGTCTCGCCGCCGCCGCCGCCCTCCTCCCAGCCAAGCGTAGTGGGAGCTGGAGGAAAAGGAACCCCTTCCGGCAACGTCGAGGTGGACCTGTACCTTCTGCCCGAATCTTTCTCCGGCCTGATCTCCGGGACCCTCCTGGTGCTGCCTTGCCGCGTCTGTCTGGAGGAGAAACCCCTGAAGCCGCTGCCGTGTTGCAAGAAGCCCGTCTGCGAAGCGTGCCTCAAGCGCTATCTCAGCTCGCAAGTGGGTACAGCTTTGGCGCAGTTGTCCTTGACCTGCCCTTCTCTCCCTTTCCCCGGAGCGGCTGAAGGGGAGGGGGGAAGGGTGATGCCTCCCCCTCCCAAAAGGCCCTGGGACGTGCGGTCTCCTTCCCTTGTTTGCCTCCGAGGGCGATCCCGAGTTGGCCGCTCCTGCGGGCGTCGGTAAAATCCGTGCCCCCCATGCTCTCGGCACATGGGCAAGAATGCTGCCTTCCCAAATCCGCCAAAACCTATTCTCCACCCGACCCGCAGGCGCACGTATGTTTAGGGGACGAAGCTGCCAGTCTGGAAGTCAGGGAAGACCTGGCTTGATGTTCTTCAACTAGCCCTTAGATTCCCACAGGTCTTGTTTTCCTATTTCATACCTGAACCTAGAGATTCTTAAATGTGGAGCGTCCTTCCCTTTTACAACATGTTCTTCCTGAGTTGAATGCCAAATATCTTTTCTTGTTATACTCCACATGGTTTACTAATACCTTTTCTATCAGTGCTTCCCCCCCTCCCCCCCATGAACTTCCTGTTCGGTATCCTGCATCCCTGAATTTCCTGTTCTTCTTTTCTCCTCTCATTTCTCTTTGGTCCAACCATGTAAAACTTATGAGGGGAAGGGACACAAAATGTCATGCTTTTCTTGAAGCTTCCTGCTTCTTTTGTGGGGAGAGAGAGTGGTGACTGATTGTTTATCCCTCATAGAAGCCATTGAAGAAGGCAGTGCAGTGAGAAGATAATTCAGCCTTTTCCGAATTTGAACTTACTCTAGGTTGGAAGAGATCAGGTTAGAGCATGGATGGGAGATATGGAATAGAACACTGGTTCTCAACCTGTGGTCAGCAAAACCCTGGGAGCGGGGCATGATGTCATCATAGGGAGGACTGCAAAGAAATGTGACGATTTAAATCTTGGGGGTCCTTGGCCACGGTCCTTGGCCACAAAAGGTATTTAAAGAAGGTCCGTGATGAGAACCACAGGAATAGAATAAATGGGGGGGATGGGGGGAGGGTTGGAGGTAGAAATAACCTCAAAGAAGATAACATCAAATTCTTCCATGTTGTTGTGGAGAAAACTACATGGACCTAGCCGTAGTCATTGAGAATCAAGTTCAACTTGCAGGAGACTTTTTACTTTACTAAGTGCTGTAAGGAATGGCATTTGGCATTTTCTTGTGAATAATTTTCTTTCTTTTTTTCTCAAAATCAACAACCCATTGCTGTTCCAATGCCTGAATTCTGTTGCAAATCATATAACTGCAGCTCCTCCTATGGGACACACAAACACACATTTTTCTGCATTTCTCTCTCTCTAACTTTGTGTTTTGATTCCCCCCCCCCCCCACTGTCTACACCAGAGTTTAATTTTGCATTTCTTTTAGAGTTAAAATCAGTGCAGGAATAGTAAAAGGAAAAAAAAGATATAAATGGACTTATTCCTCTATAAGGCAAAAAACTTGAAAGTTACAATAGGTGAAAAGGCTTTGCAGTTTTTTTCCAAAACTGTTTGGGCTAGTTAAGAAAAAAGGGGGTTGTAAGAATGAAAGAGATTAATAAAATTAGCATGAAGTTTGTGTCCTCTATAATGCTAGTTTACTTATTGAAAAGTGTTCCTATCAACATGTTTGTGAAATTTTTGCTTGCATTTTTTTCTTTATCTCATATTTGATGATACCACTATAATTTTTACAAGGGAGATTAGCTGAGTTCATACCTTACTCTAAGCCAAGGTTTGTTTTGAGTTAGGTTCCTACATTCTGCTAAGCCATGAGCTATCTTTTGCAAATGTATTACATAGATTTTACATAAATCATGTTATGAATTACCATAATATTGTGAACCCAGGTAATTGTAATTTAGTTAATAAAGTGTGACTTAGCAGGATAGGTGAATCAAGTCAGTAACTGACTTTCTGGTTTAAAACTTCTAATCTGTTTTAATCATGCTAATAGCTTGGATATATATTTAAGCAAGATACTCTTTTTATGCTGTGGAATAGCTGTTGTTCATCAGGGTCTGTTGAAGGTATTGTTATATTCAAAAAGAATGTTTAAAGACCAAAGTGATCATTTATTTCTATTTTTTATATGTATCAATGTATTTGAAGGTCTTATATTTTCTATTCATCTGAAAATACTACTATTACAATGATCAGAAATAAAAGAATCTTCAGACAAAATGCAGAGAGAAAAGAGGGTAAGAGAAAAGATTTTTTAAATATGTTAATAGTTCTATGATGTAGGAGCAAGCTATGTAAGAGTGATGTGGTTAAATGATCTAACAGTCTATAAAGAAGTTGAATTCCACTTCCCTATTTACATCAAAGAATCTGAGGCACTTCATCAGCTTTATCTATATGATTGACAAAAAAGCTGTTCTCTTTATGACTACATTTTTGTGGTATCTTTAAACTGAGTCATTGGGATATGAAATTGAACAAAAGGTTATTTAATATTTTACATTTATATGAGGCTTTGCTCTCTTGTTCCAGTAAAAATGAAATCCTATACTTAGCTTTGGTGCTAACATTTTTGTTTTGTTTTGTTGCTTGTCTTGATGCTCCTCTTTTGAAAAAGTTTGTTTTTTACTTAACTTGATAGAAAATTCAGGTCTTTCAGGATAGGTGGAATGTTGACTTGCTGGTACTGAAAGGCACACTTCCTCGTTTTATTCTATAAAATTTCCCAGTAATATTTGTTTTCCCAATTCCCTCAGAGGCTGAGGAAACTGGGCAATTTTGAGATATTAGTGACATTATTCCAAGCAGTTGACCAAGATTTATCTTGAAAAAATCTTTTTGTGTTTGATTTTAATTTTAAACAGATACACACAAACATCTGAATTATAAAAAGGAATTTTATTTCATTTTTTTGTAGACAATGGAAAATAGTTATTGTGTGCTTATATAATGTAGTTGTATGTTTACTATACTCCTGGCACTTAGTAAGTTCTTACGCTGAAGGAAAGTTAAAAATAGTATATAACATGTTCCGAAAGCTTCATATTTATTCCTTCCATGTTACAACATCTCTGGGAATAGGTCAAAGTTACATTGTTTATCATTTATGACTTTCTTTGCTCTAGAAAGTACAGAGAGGTGTTTGCCATAATCCAGAAAGCACAATAAAACATTTAAAATACTAATTGGGGAAAGGGGGCTATCAGTTACTGATGAATGTCAATTAAAACTCATACCACTGTGTAGAACTATATATATATTTATTATTATTAATAATTATTAATTGTATATATATATATACAATTGTATATATATA